ATACTGTGTGAGTGGAAGTCAGTTTACTTATTCATTTTGTCATTTATAGACATTTGCTTAATTCTCGGTTTGGGGGTTATTATCGATAGAGGTCCCGTGAGCCTCCTCGCATCTGTCTTTTAGTGACTGTGTAAGCTCATTGCTCTTGGGTAGATACGGCCAGATGTCTTTTAAATCACGTATCAGCCTCATACCTGGGCTATGCATAGCATTGATTTATTTTCTGGGAGACTGAGCAGGTAAAGATCCCTAGGACATCCCTCAGGGGCTTAGAGATCCTGGATGTACCTGGGAGCCTTCTCTACCTTTCACCAAGGAGAGGTGTGCAGAGGTGGCCTGAATCACCCTCAGACACCACCCTGCCTTGTGGCTTGACTCCCTGGGCTCTTCTCCGCCCCCTTTGGGGAGGGCAGCAGACTCTAGGGGAATGGAGGGGTCGTCTCATCTTCCCAGCCTGTGGCGAGAAAGGGGGCGAGGGAGGATGCCTCCCATGCCGAGCAGGTAGGCTGGGCAGTCAGTCCTTCAGGGAACGTCCAGCCCCTTCCCGCCTGCAGGCTCATCAAACACCTGGACAGGCAGCCCCCGTGGGAAGCGGGTGATGTCATCGCCCAGCGGGAACAATCAAGTCTTTCATGGCAAGACGATAGCAATCAAAACAGTGTGTCAGGGCCTGGCATGCAAGAGCACGCACGCTCCTCCTCCCACCGCGGAGGCTCTGAATGCGGGTGGAGCGGCGCGCGTCAGGGATGGGCTGTCCTGCTCCCATAGTCGGCCGGCCAGAGAACATGGCCTGGAGAGCGAGCAAGGCTGTGGGTCGCAAGGACACTCACTCGCCACTTCTCAGAGAAATCCTCGATGCTCTCCACCACCTCCCCCGGGACACCTCACCTGCGACCCCAGAACTAAACCCTACAGTGAGCACTAATGTGTGGTTGGGGTTTGAGCAGGGATGTCCCGCCGCACAGCTCCAGGGGGTGCCGTTCGTAGAGAGTGCGGGTTGCCCCTGGAATCGCACAATGCCGAGGTTCCAGAGCTCGTGCCTTCAGGATGAGACGACAGGGGTCCTGGTGCTTCTCAGGGGGTGTTTGCCCCTGCAGTCCCAGGAATCAGCCTTGCACAGCTAAGCTCCCTAGAAGACCCTGCTGCAGTGAGCTAGAAAGTCTTCACAAGATGCGTGAGATCGGACGTGTGCCTTGCTTGTTCTGAGCAGTTTCTGGTGTTCAGACATTTGCTGCAGAAGCAAGCTCGCCTAAACCGTTGCTTGCTCTCGGTAAGTGGTTCTCAACCACTTACCGGGGTGATTTGGCCCCCAGGAGACATTTTGCAATGTCTGGAGACATTTTTGTTTGTCACGACGAGAAGGATGCTACTGGCATCTAGTAGGTAGAGGCCAGGGATGCTGCGAAAGGTCCTACAATGCACCGGACAGGACCCCATGACAAAGAATGATCCAGCCCAAAATGTCAATAGCGGCAAGCTTGAGAACCCCTGCTGCAGATGAGGTGTTCCACCTGCCGGCCTCTGGTTAGTATCTCCCCCATCCGGCCCGCTCTCCTTGTCTACCAGAGCAGGCCAGACCCTCGGCTCACTAGCTGAGTGGGCACAAGGCAATGTCTACTCCTCTGCTGGGGGTGTCAGGCAGGGGACCACCTCTCTACGATGGTTTGATGGCTCTGCGTGAAACCCAGAGGACCCAAAGCGTATAGTGTAGTGGTTAAGACTCCCCACTGTGAAATCACAGCTGGGTAACCTTGGGGCAAGTCACTTAACCTCATCTCCCGCATCTGCAAAGTGGGGCTAATAATGGTAGAAAACACTTAGGAGGCAGTGGAGAGGGCTAAGCATGCTGCTCCATGTGAAATGCTTACAACCATGCCTGACACTTAGTAACATTTAGTGCTACATGGTAGCGATGATTATCATTTTCTAGCCGGAAGACCTCAGGCTCCCTCCAATGGGCATGGTGATGAGAGATGAGCTGGTTTCGGCCACAGGTTGTTGCAATGGGGTCTGGCCAATTAATGGATTTCAAGGGAACCTCTCTGGGTGTCTCATTCAGCTCAGGGGTCTGCCTCCAAAGACAGATTGGAGACCCCTCCCCCCCTGGGGTGGAACCCCACACTTGGCCTTGGGAAGAACCCTGGGCTGGGGCTGGGGCATTGAGCATCCAGGTTTTCCCTCAAAGGCCAGTAGACTCAGCCGTCTACAGGAGAGATTCTTAGAAGATGGATTTCAAGGACATATGGGCTTTGACGCCAATGCATTTTTTGTTTTCGTTTGTGTGTTGCCTTTAAATTGGGGAAGGGGAAACCTGGGTCGCCCTGCCTACCGTCTCAGGCCTTTGCTTGTGCGCTGCTTCTTCCTGGAGGAAGCGCATTTCCGCGTCCCTCTCTAGCTGTTCGAATGAGCCCCATCCTGCAGAGTCCACCTCGAGTGTCACCTCCCCCGTGAAGGTTTCCCATGGCCTGCCTCTGCGGGAATCACTGCCCCAGCCCCCATGCTTCGTGCTTCCCTGGGGCCCGTAGCCGGTTCCGTGCTGTCCCGTACTCACCTGTACGCGGGTCTCTTGGCCCTCTGTTGGGTGTAAGTGCTTGAAGGATGGCCCCTTCCCGGCGTCTGTGTGGTATAAGCCCTCCCGCTGGCCCAAGGCCGAGTGGTGGATTCTGGACTCGCTCCTGCAAACAGGCTCCCAGCTGGCCGTCAGCCGCTATTTCTGGCCTTGGTGTTTAACAGGAAGCCACAGAATCAAGAAGGCGGGGGGACATGAGTTAGAGAAGAGGTGGCGACGGCCACCAGGCCGTGGGGAATGGAGGCCCGAGGGCCCACCTCAGGGAGGTTTGTACGATTTTAACAATAGACGCCATTTGAAGAGCACCCGTTTTACGCCCGCTGTACGGAGTGGAGGCGGAGTTTCTCGTAGTTGGTACTGAGTTGCAACGGCGCATCCAGGGGGCCCACCCAGGTCTGTCTGGTTCAACCACTGCGTGTCACATCCTCTCCGGAGACATCACAGGCCTTTGTTTTCTACCTAAACACTGAAGGTGTTGAGCCAGGGACCCCCCGGGAACCTTGCAGGTGGAGTGCGTGTTCCCTGACTTTTAACTCTGGGGGCGGAGCTAGGGGAGGAGGAAGGAGTGAGAAGGCGGCCCCTAGGGAAATAGGGTCCGGCCTCCGGGTGCCTCCGGGCCTCAGAGGAAAAGCAGGAGGAGCATCTGCCCACAGGGACAGCCTTTCCTCCTGTTGCCCATCCCTTGGGATCAGCGGTATCCCAAGACCAGGGCAGCGAGGCCCTTCCCAACCAGCAGCCTGGAGGGGACACTGGTCTGAGAGGCAGCTGGGAAAGCAGCCTCGGGCGCCTTGCTTTTGCCCGTGCATCCAGGTGGAGAACGGGCCCCGTTTTCTCTGCCTGTACCTCCTTGGCGTTCCTGATGGTACCCGCCCCCTTCATCTGCCAGGGTCGGTATTCGTGAGTGAGCCCGGGGCCTTCCTCCTCCCACCCACCTCTGGGGTTTCCCAGCTGTTTCCTGGCCCTAAATGCCCCCGCGCATGTCCCCACTCCAGACAGAGAGCCAAGTGTCTGCTTCTGTCACTGGAGGGAGGCCACCTCCCCTGTCCCTGCCTTGCCTGGCCAGCTCAGGCCTGGGCTGGCAACGAGAGCCCCACACGGACTCACCTGGCACCTGTGGGGCTGGCGAGGGTTGACGGGAGGTACATCTGTTGGGTCTGGGAGTGGTTGAAACTTGTGTTGGACCATCAGGAGCATGGGGTAGCGGCCTCCTGAAAAAACATCTGCTCGGCTCCCAGGACTGTGTGAACATCCTCTGTGGCCGATTAGAATTCCGACCCAGGCTTGCCTCTGCCATCCACCAGATTTCTGGGTGCCTCCTCGGATGACCAACTCATCCAGGTGGCCTGGGACCTTCCCGGCTTCAGCACTGCATGTCCAGTGTCCCAGGAGACCTGTCCATGCCAGGCAAACCAGGGCAGTTGGGCACCCCAGTTCCCGTCATATAACTCAAGCTGCATTTGGGGAGTTCCGACCCCTTCACATACTTGCTTCACGGCTAAGAGATTAGAGAGACCATCGCCTCTCATCTCATCCTCGAGCCGGAGGAGTAGAGCGAGGTTCGGTCCTCTTCCTTCGTGCCGTTCTCTCTCCCAGTGTGGCATTGAAAAAAAAAAATCAAAATTCTAGGAAATGAACTTAAAAATCGCCCCAGCTTCCCCTAATGCTGGACTGGGTCGCCCCTTCCTAGCAAATTCAGATTCTTCGGGGAAAGGAAAAGTCTGAATGTTTCAAGCCAAAAATTCAGCTCCTCCCCAGAGGCCGCCGTCCCGGGCAGACGCCGGGCTCACCTCCCCACCTCTCAGGGCTGCTCTTGGGCCGGCAGGTGCAGCCCAGACACCAGGAGGCATCTGTCCCTCACCCCCTGCAGTGACACCCTGCCCTGTACCCCACCCCCACCCTCCAGCCCCTGCTCGCCCCATGGGTGGCCTTTCCTGGCCCTTTCCACGAGATCGCCTCCCTTGTTACTCCCAGTCAGGCCTGGGTGACAGGTCCCCGGGGGGCTTCGCTCAACTCCACCGGAGGGGCCGGGACGCCGTCAGCGGACAGCCTGTGGCTTCTGTTCTCGAAGAGCCCTTCGTTCCCGCTTCCCTCTTCTTGCCACGAATTTGCCGCGGCCCAGACTGCTAATGGGGTGTCCGTGCTCCCGCTGGGAAGAGCAAGGCAGAAGACTGCGGCTTCACCCTGTTCCGAAGGGCAAGGGTTGGCTTTCGCCCTGGCCTCGGAATCCCGCTCGGAGTCTTCAGAGCCTCTCGTTGGGGGCCCTACTGCCTTGGGGTGCTGGCGGAGAGTGCGCATTGGAGTGGAGGCCACGGGGGAGAGCAGGACGGAGCCCCTCCCCCGTGGACACACGGTGGCCACTGTCCCCATCGATTTTATTGAGACTCCTGTCTTCCCAGTGCCCCTCACTCTGATGCTCCTGCTCTGTTTCCAGGATCCCCTCCAGCGCATCTCAGTTCAGACTTCGTACCCAGAGGCACCCAGTCTGCAGGCCACCTGATGCGTTCTCGAGTGGCCTCTGGTGTCCTCGGCTCCCAGCCGGGGCCGCGCTGCGGTGGCCCTCGTTCGGAAAAGCAGGGCTCCCGAGTGGGAGGCAGGTGCAGCCCCTGCCCTCATCCTCACCCCCTTCGATGACGCCTTCCATCAGTGGCTCTCAACACCATCAGCACATTCTGAAAACAGTCGATCAGAATCCCCCGGTGTGGGGCCAGCCCTGGCATTTGCCAAAGCTCCCTGGTGACTGGTGTGTGTAGCCAGGGCTGAGAGTGCTGGGTTTAAATCGTGGTCCAGAGCCGATGCAAGGGGGAGGGGGAGCGGAGGGCATGGAGGGGACGGAGCCCTTCCATCGGGTCACCCCTGCCTAGTTGACATCTAGCAGATGCACGGTGTACAGCGAAGCAGGGGAACGGGCCAGTGTGTGTGTATAGGGGGGCTGTGTGTGGGGGGGGTGGGGGGGCTGTTCAGCGGAGAGCCAAGTTAAGAAGGGATGTACCTGAACATGAGAAGAGCTGAGAAGCTGCGGTCCAGCCCTCGCTGTGGGAGGAAGGAGCCCAGGAGCACTCAGGAGAGGTCCTGAGTGATCACCCCGCGAGGCGGCACCCTGCTGAGCGGCCTGGCAGGATCCCGAGGGTGGGGCGCCTGGCAGCCCTGTGCCAGAGCCGGGGCAGGGCAGAGGTAACTGGGCTTGCCACAGCTAGAAGAATGGGGTCTCTGTGCTGCTTATCAGGACGGTGCCTCCTGGACAGGATGTGGAGGAGGCTTCCACAGCCCGCCTAGCGGATGGCAGTAGGCGGCACGGCATCACGGCGAGGACTTTGGACGGGGAGCCCCACCTTGACTTGCTGGTGGCATTGGGCTGGCAACTCTCCGTGGTTAGGCTGGGCATAAGTCATGTACCTGCCTATGAACGTTAGGGCAGGTGATGGCAATGGACAACCAGCCAGCCACAAAGTACTGGTCCCACATCCGACAAAGGCCTCGAGACCCGGTTGGACACCTAGACCTTGCTCGTTGCAAGACCCTCATTAGGTCTTTAGTTCCATCCCGTCAGATCTTTCTGTAGCCACTGACATATTAGGGCAGAGGTCAGCAAACTACAGCCCGTGGGCCTAATCTGGCCCACCCCCTATTTTTGTAAATAAAGTTTTATTGGAACACAGCCCTACTCATTTATTTACACGGTGGCTGTTCTCCCAGTACAATGACAGAGTCGAATAGTTGCAACAGAGACCCGGTGGCCCTCCGAGCGTAAAGTGTTTGCGATCTGGCCCCGTGTGGTGCCCGTGGATCGGGGGACAGAGCCGGAGCGTGTCTGAGCCTCCTCCTCTCTAAGAAACGAAAGGAGGGAGCTGCCTGTATAACGCGGGTGGGGATCGGAGCGAACCCACAGGAGAGGTCAGCAGGCAGCGATGCAGCCGGGGGCCCTTTGCGGACGTGCCCTGGGCCCAGCGGCCCAGGTGTCTTCTCGTCCGTCCACCTCGTTTTACGAGCGGTTGTCCCAGGTGCGTGATCTGTCATCCCTGAGACTCTGGAGCATTTCCGTTATTCGAGAACGAATCCCGGCTTTTCAGATGCCGTCACTTTGATGAGCCGATGGGTGCGTGTTGAGAGCAAAGGGCGTGAAGGTTCAGGAAGGGACAGGGTAAGAGTTCGTCAAGTGAGCCACGTGCAAACCAAACGTTGGGAAGTCCCAAGGTTCTGGCAGGGTCAGCCTTTCCCTAAGAGTCTCCTTGACTGGCAGCCCCCAGGGAGAGGCTTCCTCCTCCCACGTGTCGGGGGGCTGTGTGCCCCGTATGAAGCGTGTGGGCATGAGCAGGAGGATAAAAGCAAACACAGACCGAGGTTCAAGACTTCAAACTGAAAGATTAAGTGTTAAGCACTGAGGATTGGCCTTGGTGTTCTTTGCTGGAGGACAGAACAGGAGGCTGTGGCTAGAGCCGGCCCAGCAGGACCGTCCAAGGCAGCAAGCGTGTCCCTGTCCAGAAGCCTCGGTGAGTGAGTGGGCAGGAAGGACAGGGTGGAGCCCGCCTGCTGGTCTACAGCACTCCCTTGCTGCTGTCCAGAGCTGATGGGTTGGTTGCTGTTGGCAGCCAGGGGGACAGACATGAGCAAATGGACCGGAAAGCCAAGTGACAATGGAGCTTCCCATTTCTGTCTATTCCATCCACAATCCCTCGGGCCACATGCCCAGCGTGGCCTGCAAATAGCACCCTCTTCTCACACCCTTGAGATCTTCGGTGCTCAGAAGGGCCCCCCGTGGGGGGCTTCCCCATGGACCTGTCCAGCCAGGGTAGAGTCTCGGCTGAGGAGATGCTCTAGAACTGCCTTCCCCTTGCATTCAGACTCATCCTGTGTCCCGTCTCCTTCCCATCCTGCTTCCGCTTTCTCCGAAAGTCGATGTTCAGCGTACTTGCCCCGTGCGTGATGAGGGCTCTTCGTTTATGCGCATGCCTTGTCTCCCTGGGGGTCACGCACTGCATGTGCCCCTGTCTCGTTCTGTTGCTCCCTCCCTTTCACCCCAGTACCTGGTCTGTGTGCAAAGCAGGCTCTCGAGGCTGGTCTGAGTGCAAAGCAGGCTCTCGAGGCTGGTCTGTGTGCAAAGCAGGCTCTCGAGGCTGGTCCGAGTGCAAAGCAGGCTCTCGAGGCTGGTCTGTGTGCAAAGCAGGCTCTCGAGGCTGGTCTGTGTGCAAAGCAGGCTCTCGAGGCTGGTCTGTGTGCAAAGCAGGCTCTCGAGGCTGGTCTGTGTGCAAAGCAGGCTCTCGAGGCTGGTCTGTGTGCAAAGCAGGCTCTCGAGGCTGGTCTGTGTGCAAAGCAGGCTCTCGAGGCTGGTCTGTGTGCAAAGCAGGCTCTCGAGGCTGGTCTGTGTGCAAAGCAGGCTCTCGAGGCTGGTCTGTGTGCAAAGCAGGCTCTCGAGGCTGGTCTGTGTGCAAAGCAGGCTCTCGAGGCTGGTCTGTGTGCAAAGCAGGCTCTCGAGGCTGGTCTGTGTGCAAAGCAGGCTCTCGAGGCTGGTCTGTGTGCAAAGCAGGCTCTCGAGGCTGGTCTGTGTGCAAAGCAGGCTCTCGAGGCTGGTCTGTGTGCAAAGCAGGCTCTCGAGGCTGGTCTGTGTGCAAAGCAGGCTCTCGAGGCTGGTCTGTGTGCAAAGCAGGCTCTCGAGGCTGGTCTGTGTGCAAAGCAGGCTCTCGAGGCTGGTCTGTGTGCAAAGCAGGCTCTCGAGGCTGGTCTGTGTGCAAAGCAGGCTCTCGAGGCTGGTCTGTGTGCAAAGCAGGCTCTCGAGGCTGGTCTGTGTGCAAAGCAGGCTCTCGAGGCTGGTCTGTGTGCAAAGCAGGCTCTCGAGGCTGGTCTGTGTGCAAAGCAGGCTCTCGAGGCTGGTCTGTGTGCAAAGCAGGCTCTCGAGGCTGGTCTGTGTGCAAAGCAGGCTCTCGAGGCTGGTCTGAGTGCAAAGCAGGCTCTCGAGGCTTGGCTCTGACCTGCTGACCAGTTCGCACGGCACAGCCCCTCCGTGTCCTGCAGAGAGGCAGGAGAGAGGATCGTGGAGGGTCGTGGCTGAGGTCAAGCTCAGAGCGGTCCTCCGTGCCAGCCTCTTTCTTCAAGAACAGAGTCTTCTGACCTGGCAGCAAAGCTGGAGGTTCTGGTAAAACACCGATGATCTGGCTGAATCCCGCCCCCCGGGGCTGGGAGGAACCTTCTCTTGACCTTCAACATAAACCAAGCCAGACTGCCATGTTCCCTAGTTCAGAAGCCCTCTGTGGATAACCATTCTAATGCCACCCGCTTTAACTTAGGCTCCTGTTACCTTGGCCTGTCCCCGAGAGCCATTATAATAGCTCCTGTCACACAGTCCTGTCGGTGTGAGGACAGTAGCGTCTGGGGTGATGACACCTGGTGTTTTCAGAGTCTGTTCCTTAATTTTACCTCCATAGGAACATGAAAGGTGAGTCCCCGGTGCTCAGGGAAAGGAACTGTGGCCCAGAGTGTAGATGACCAGCTCGAGCCGCCTGGCTCACCGGGGTGACTCGCCTTCTGCCCCCAGCTCTAGGATGTCTGCTAAGAGCATTTAAAAGCACTGCTAATAACAATAATAAAAATGCCTTCCAATTTATGAGGACTTCAACTTACAAGTTCTTACATGTGCTTAAATTATTTTATTTCTACCCTCTATTATCTCTTTCTCCATCGTTGGAGTCTGCAGAACAGAGGATTTGGGTGAGAACAGGGCAAGATGGGCTTAGAGGTTTCTTTTCGAGCCCAGGCTCTGTGAGCCTGAAAGCCGTGACTGTTACTTCACCCCGTAGGCGATGGCGGGGGTGAGGGCGGGGCGCTGTGCGCCGGCGTTCACATCCTGAGATTGTATTTTTAAAAAATTCTCACTCCAGTCTGGGCCTTGACGTCAAACCCACTTTTTCCTGAAGTGACAAATCCAAGGCCAGGAATTGTACACACGAACGAGGTGCAAGGTAGTGGCCCCCTCATTCGGTGCAATGTCCCCCACGTCACCCGGCTGCTCCCAGCCAGTGGGGTAGGGGAGGGGCGGAGAAGTCATCTGTCTCTCCCACTTTACAGATGGAAGGACTGAGGCCCAAAGACGGTGTGTCTTCCCAAATGCCCACAGCAAGGGACAATGGGAAAGATGTCCCAACTCTTTGTCTACTGGTGTTCAGCCTTTGGCAGGTGTATCTTGCCAGCAGGGCTAAGCCGTAGAGTTCAGGTACCAGCTTATTTCCTGCTCTCGGAATCCTCAGTGCTCATGTGGCTTATTGTTTTAATCAGAGTTCTTTTTTTTTTTTTTTTTAAGCAACAAGAGACCCACTCTTTCTAGCTCAAATAGAGGGTTTTTTTCTATTTTAAGGAGAAATTTCGCCTTAATCCAACATGGGGGTTATGGGGACAAGACTTCGATATACACATGGCCAAGTAGGCCACCTCTTCAGTAGAGGTCTGGGATACAGCTCTTTCAGAAGGGGTGCCGTTGTGGCCTGAACCCCCAAACATGCCAGGCACAACTGCCCTTGAAAAAGGTCCATACCACTTCTAATCAGTGTCCTATCCTTCAAAAGACAATGCGGGCATCAAGTGATGGATGGGTATGTAACCTGCGGTGCCTCCATACAAAGGGACATTATTCAGTCACAAAAGGAATAAAGTGCTGACACATGTTACAACATGGATGCACCTTGAAAACACGGTGCTGAGCGAAGTAAGCCAATAAAAAGGGCCACGCATCGTGTGATTCCATCTATATGAATACTCCAGAATAGGCAAATCCATAGAGATAAAAATGTGTCGTGTGATTCCATCTATATAAATACTCCAGAATAGGCAAATCCATAGAGATAAAAAGTAGGTTCGTGGTTGCCAGGGGCTGGGGCGGGGGGAGAGGGGGAATGGGGAATGGCTGCTGATGGGTATGGGGTTGCTTATGGGGGTGACGAAATGTTGTGGGATCAGATGGTGGTGATGCAAGTCACTCAACTCTACGAATATACTAAAACCCACGGAGCCGCACACATTAAGTGGGCGTGCCACGTCGCATGTGAATTAGACCTCAATATTGCTGTTATTTTTTAAAAAGACCCTGTAGGAGACCTAAAACTCTTTAAAAAAAAAAAAACTGGGAGCGGGGGGGAGATTACTGTGACCGTAATAGGAAAAGGAGGTGGTGAGAAAAAACGGTGAAACGCTTCCCAGCGGCCGTGATCACGTACGCGTCCATTTCCTAGAGTCGGGCCAGCGGTCCGAGAGTGTCGAGTGCCCGACTTCGCGTGCGGAACGTGTCTCTGTTCTCTCTCTAGGTACGGGCAGCTGAGTGGCATGGTGGAGCCTCTGGCCGGGCTCTTCGGGGCCTTCGCGGTGGTTCTGGCCGAGCCCATCCTGCCCTACGCTCTGGCCTTTGCCGCTGGCGCCATGGTCTACGTGGTCGTGGATGACATCATCCCCGAAGCTCAGATCAGGTGGGAGAGCTTCCCCACCCGCCCCGTCCCTGACCCTGTCCCAGCCTGGACCCCAGGCTCCGTACTTGCCCTTTCTCCATTTGCCCTTTTCTTTATTTCTGCCCCCTTCCCAAGATCACCCGCACCCCCTCTGCAACTGTGCTCCCTAAAACCAAAGGAAAGCGGAGTGACAGACAGGCGGGCGGAGACACCGACCAGGTGGCACTAGGCGGTGGCATACACACCCCGCCTCTCCACCCTCCGCGAAACAGACTGTTCTTTTTTGTATATCCCCCTCCCTCCCTCCCTCCTCTAGGTCTTTCTGGGGCTAGAATGAGGGGAGAGGTGAGCTTTGCTGGCCAAAGCTGAATATCCATGCTTTCATCGCCGAGCTGCAGGCCAGGCGTGGGGGGCTGGGGGCTTGCTACAGGCCAGGCGTGGGGGCTGGGGGCTTGCTGCAGGCCAGGCGTGGGGGCTGGGGGCTTGCTTTGTTTCTCTTTGGATTTTACAGCAGAAGGATTGTGAGACTCGTTTACAAGGTCAGATTCAATAATATCTTCAAGAATTTAATCGCCACTCTTTATTAGTCAAGCATGGATTCCAGAGCCACGATAGGTGACCTTCGGCAAGTTGCTTAACTCCCCTGTGCCTCAATTTCCCTACCAGTAAAATGGGAGTAATAATCGTACAGTTCTCATGTGGTTACCCTTAGGGATTACATGAGTCAATCAGTCTGCCTGGCACAGTGTAGGCGCCAATATATGTTACTCGTCAATGTTATTATCAGTATTAACAGTAGCGGTATATTTTCCACTGGAATCGGACCCCGCAGAGGACGGTTTCAGCTTGGACAGTGTCCCAGAGTGCATCAGGGTCTTACTTTTCCTTTCCTTCTTTCCTAGTGGTAATGGGAAGCTGGCCTCCTGGGCCTCCATTCTGGGATTTGTGGTGATGATGTCGTTGGATGTTGGCCTGGGCTAGTGGCCAAGTACTTCGGACCCCAGGGAGGCGGCACAAGGACATGGCTATGGTTGGCTTCTGCGGGACCATGAGCCTCTTCTTCACATCGAAACATTTTTACTTTCTCTTCTTTTCATCTCATTATCCTGATTGACTCTGATTATATGACAACTTCCACTTTTCTTTTAAGGGAGATAGATACTGGTTTTATTTGGAATTTCAAGGTGTCGATGGATCTACAGAGTTTTCTTTGGCCACTGAATGGAGTCTTTCTTCGGTGGGATTACCTGGGACGCACAGATCGGGGAAATCTCTGCTTTCCCACCTTCGGCCTCCCTTGCTAGACTCAGTGGCAACTCCCCAAGGTCACCTACAGAAGCAAGCGACCCAGAGAGAAGTCTCCTAAGCACTTTTGCCTAGTGACTCAGAGCCGGATGGTCAGGGCATCTCATCTGTACCTCCCAGTCTTTCACTGTCGGTCAGAATGGGGGGCATCGTGCACCCAGCTGCCTCCTCTCCGAGGCTCAGCAGCCCCCGGAGGAATATGCACACCTTCCTCTGCCTGCTCGAGGGAGACGGGACACAGACAGAGGGAAGATCAGCTAGTCCTTCTCTCTCTCTCTTCCTCCCCCCACCCTCCCCCAAAGATCAACACTTCGACGTTAAGAGAGTTAGGGAATTGAACACAACTGAACACACAGCGAGCCCCATGAAAAGAGAGTGTAGCTTTGATCAGAGACCTCTGCTCTCTGTGGATTCCAAGAGCAAAGTGGTTTGTCATGGTTTCCAAGACCCCAAGACATTTATTCGGATAGGTGTATAGCCTTCATTTTTCTCAGACTTGGGGATACCAGCAAACTGCTTGAACTCTAACCCTCTATTCACTTAAGAGAGAGAGTCACTTAAGCTAATGTAAGTGAGTGTTTCTGCAGTGGGTCCTTCTCTGCTGACCATTTAGTAACTTGTAACCTGACCCAGAAGTTACAAAGGCAGCAGCAGCCTTTGCTGGAGTTTGGCAAGAGAGCTCAGGATGAGAAAGCTATAGGAGAAGAAGAGAGATTTTCACTTTCCCTTTTAAAGTAAATTTCACCAAGTCATCATTGTGAAATGACCCCAAACGATGACTTGAACTAGACTAGAAGCCAATCTACTCCTTTACACACAAGCTTCTTCCGACAGGGATGGTATAACGTGTCTGCTTCAAGCACAGCTACGGCTTGCCGTCGTCACTGGTCATAGGAGCACACAGGACACTGAGTGGGCTCCGCTGGTAATACCAGGTATCCGGGCATTGCGTCGTCCATGCCCGGCCTCTGAGTTTACATGTTTGATTGCTTCCAAGGGTGAATGCCCTGTTCTGTGAACGCCCTGAGACCCCCCCCAAAGGCCAACCTTCTGCTGGGCCTATGTCTGCTCTTCTGAAGCACTGATGATCAAAATTGGAGACACACCCAGAGGTTTGACTGAGACGATTTGTTTTGGTGGCTGGTGTATGTGTATTTTTACGTCTTTGTATGTAGTAGTTTTACATAATGCGAACTTCTTTCTGATGGACAAGACCTTATAACTGTGATTAATATCAATAAAAGGGATACTGTTGTGGATGACCTGTCCGGTGTTCAGTCCTTCTCAAAGCTGCTTCTTTCCAGGGTCAATAATAGAAACGCTAACTAATAACATCTTCCCTCCCTAGCAGCAGGAGAAGCAAAGGAAAGCGCTTGCTCGGATGAGAAAGGGTAGATTCCTGGTTGCAAACCACAGCATCCAACGCGGGCTGACTTACACAGGGAAGCTAGTGGAAGTCTTATCTGGAGCTCGCAGTATGTACGGGAGAAACAGGCTCGAAAATTGGTTAGATCCAGGAAAGCTAACGGCTGGACTCCATCTCAGAAAGAGCGTGGTTTGGGCGGCAGGGCCCCCAATGCTGGTCCCCTGATGCTGCACGAGCCCCCACGGGATGAACTCTGCGCTGCCCACCCGGCCCACCACCTCCTTCGCCCTTGACTCATCAGCCCCACTTTACTGACGGGGAAGGTGAGGTCCAGGAAGTCGCACTTGTTGCCAAGGCACTGTCGGTTCTGCTTGGCGAGAGGATGCAGAAGTTGACTTCCCACCGCCGTCCCCAGAGCCTTCCCTGAACATCACCCCCACCCCCACCCTCAGGATCTGTGACCTGTTGGAAGCCAATGGGTGCCGAGGGGCTGTTCTTTTCCCTTTCCTTTCAAATTGAGGTGTTTACGTATAACAAAGTCACAGGTCTTAAGTGTATACAGTCCCACCGGTTTTTACCTGCGCCGCCCTCCGCTGGGTGTCCCCCACGCCCCCACCCCAGCTGCACACCGCTGGCCCCTGCCAGCCTGGCCCGCAGGTGCAAGA